TAATTTACGTTCTTATCGTTTATCCATCCTCTCTATAAATTTTAGATTTATAGATTATAAAGAAACTTGTAAGAACACTAAGTAAGTGAAGAAATCCAACAGCTGCAACTTCAATATCTATACAATTTTGAATACGTTAATTTCACCATATAATAACTAGTTTAGTTTATTATATGGTAAAGTAAAACGGACGCAAAACCATATAGATATCATATACACTTAAGAATTATAAGATGCCTAATGGTATTTTTTGGTTTGCTGACTCAATCTGTACTGATGACCGTTGAATAGGTGAAACTGCAGTCCACAGCAGAGGGTGCAGCCAATCAAAGAATGCATTATGACTCTACATCACATATTCTCTTTTCAATTTCATAAGAAAATAAATACTTTAACGTATATATATTATATATATATATATATATATAGTTGCAACTTCAGTTCTATCACATTTACCCGAATAGTTTCACTTATTTAACGAAATCTGTTTAATCATTTTGAGTAAAATTTGAAAAACTTGAGTTTTTCATTCTTTTATACATATATATATATATATATATGCGTGTAACATACTTGCATGTCATTTGCTTTCTTTAATCTTTAGTAACGATTTTGTGATTAGCATGATCCACTGAAATAATCCTTTTGGTGATTAAATATTTCCATGACAATACTGACATTCAGTAGTTTTTGGAAAACCAGCGGGTAATGTCTGGTTAACTGTACTATCATGATGACCTTATAACCCGAGTGCTTTCGAAAGGTGGACCTTTCTTTTTCAGGAGCAAACAGTTTGCCCATGAAGAAGAAAGGTCCACTTTTCGAAAACGCTCGGGTTATGGGTTTTTTATTTATTTCTATCAAGACTTCTTGAACTTACGTGTCTTTCTTACATTATGCCTCAATATTACTGCAATTTATAGCATGTTTTTTTATCGAATTCGAGGATATCTGTAGCATGGTGTTAATTAATGTAATTCAGAAAATCAACCGTTAGTGTATGGATTGCTCGGTGTGGTAATAATCAAAATGATTCTTTATTTATGTACTTTCTGACAATTTCCCACCTCTGAATAATGTATTATATACCTGTATGTATATGTGTTTCTGTGTGTGTTTTCCTATGGCTACACATTTTAAGTAAGTAGAATTTCCAAAGTATACTAAAACGCTTATAAATATTGATACATTCATTATCACAGATGTGATCTTCTAATGAAAATTAGGCTCGAATGTAAGTGATGTGAATCTACAAAAAATATACCATTGCTTGCAGATAAGTTTGTACGTGAAAGAAAATAAATTCTTAGCGGAGGTGAAAAATGTATTTCCTGGAACAATAACCAAAGAACAGTTATGAAACCTTTTCACGGCAAATTCTTTCCTAAAATGCAGTTCGTTGACTTTTACACATATTTATTTTCCACGCATTTATTTTCTTAATAATGTAACAAAACAGGATAGAATTCAACTTAATTTGTAAGGTCAGCTTAAGAATCGAATATTAAATCCTTTGTGAAGATTATCAAGTCTCAATCTCACTTATTTATTATTATATGCAGCATACAAAAATACTGGGTATTTTCTTCAACAAATTCTTGCGAACATCACATGATTCTAGATAATTATTTGTAACATAATAAAGAATAAATTCCTTTTTCCAGTTATCTAGATTTTTTTTTTCTTATGAGAAAAAAAAAGACATAAAAAGCCATTGTCTTTTTTCTCTTTTTTTTCCCTTCTCTATTTAACTTTCGTATAATTACAATCACATGTTTTCTTTCATTTTCTCTGAAATTCTAGAAAATAAAGAAATAACAGTGTGAAACATTAACAAAATATTTAGGCTTTATAACTGTTTGAAAGTAAAACACAGCTCAAAAAGACGTGTTTTTTTTTGTAAACACTTGCTATCTTTATAACTTTAATGCATTATTTTCATCCTTATACCACCAGAAGCAATTTTAACATGCTCTAACACATAGATCGAGAAACGTGTATTATGCCACCAAGGATTTCCTTTTTATAACAAACAAATGTTTCATCGAATAACTGATGAAACAAATTTCCATTACCTTAATTAAGTTTTTTTTTCATAATAGAACGAAGCGTATTTCAATTTCAGTCTATAATGAGACCGATAATTAGCAAATTTAATACAAAAAGGCAGTTTATCAGCATTCCGTAAGATGCCGAGCAAAAAAAAATAATTGTTTACTTGACACAATTAAATAATCCTTACTTCCCATATATGTTTTTGACGCTCACATACTTCAGGCGCTTGTGATATGTCAAAGCATTAGGAAATGATTGTAGAATAATAAATAAGTTGTTTCTTTTCAAAACTATTTAAACGGTATTTCTTTGTTTGTCTGTTATTAAGCAGAAAGCTACACAATGAACTATCTATGCTGTGCCCATCTCGGGTATCGATACCTAATTTTTATTAAAATGTTTCGCAATTTGTTCTTCAAATTTCATTTTTCATTATCGTGAATTTGTATGAAATAACTCTGAAATAATTTTAAAAAAAAGTAATGTATCCTCTAGTTTCTTGTACTCCAATTTTAAACATAAGTATTATAACTCATTATAATCTCGCAGTATAAACTACAATGTGAAAGTCTAATCGAGGGTGTACATTCATTAAGTTTAGGTTCTAAACGATGAATAAAGAAAAAGACACTTTTTAAACATTTTAACCATAACTCAATAGTTTTATTTATAATTAGCAATTCTGGCGTTTGTCTTCTTGATAAACTCTTTTTTACTTAAGATGTTAGGTATATGATATTCAATATTTCAAACATTTCCAGTTGTGCTTTGTTCCTAGTTTTAGGTGTAAGATATATTTGATTATTAGGTAAAACTTGGTATTAATACTATTTATTAATACTATTCCACTTAATCTTAATGGCAAACTTCAAGAATATTCTAGAATATGCAATTACCTAATTGGTTCTCATTTCTAAAATAATGAAACATGAAGCTATTCATGTTTCAATGATATTTCACCATAATACTATTTACCAATTCTTCAATTTAACATGATTCTTACATTATTTGGTTCTTAAAAGTCTAAAATATTTTGAACAATTCAGTTTAAGTTATCTCTTTGAATAAAATTAAAGCATTGTCTTGCTAAAAACTAAGAAAAATAAATGTATTTAGTATAAAATGAATCGACTAAAATTAAATGGTGAACAGTTTGTTAAAATACACGTACCACATTTTTATCAAGAAAAAAATATTGATGTAATGACATAATTTAGCATTTGTTTTTTGTTTTGTTTTTGGTTTATTTCTATAATGTTGTATATGCTTTAAATAGATAAAGGACGAATATATGCTCAGTTATATCTTATACAATACTCTGTATTTATGATGAAAGAAAATTTTACAAAATTAAAGGGAAATATGTATTTATATAAAATAGAGAAATCTATTGAAAATTAATCTTAACTTGTTAAATGATTTTGAAGTATCTTTGATTTTCAAACGTGAAAGAACAAAAAGAATGTATAGTGTAAGAGTATACTTTTTTGTGAAATGTGACAAGGAGAATAATCCCACTAAATCTTGGAAGAATCAAAATAAATTTTATAGTATTTATGGCTGACAACCAATTTCAAAATATTCCTTGGTAAGATGTGATGAAAGCAAGTAAAGCTAATGAACAAGCTGAATGAAACCTTTTTTTTTCAGTTCCTAATATTGCACCAATACGTTTTTCTTAAAATGAGTATTTCAAAGAGTAAACCAAACCTTAATATTGTGTATAAAACTGTTATGAATGAAACTTTAAAATAATGACTTATTCAACATAACTTGCTTAAAATAAATATTATAGATAGAATTGATTGATTTAAATATGTTATGAAAAACATAAAACAGATATTTAAAGAGAAAATGCAGTTCTCTTAGAATATATTATTGAATTTTTCTTCAAAGTATACCAGTTAAAAATATAATTTCAACATGTTTTGTCTGTAACTTACATAAATGTTCGGAGTTCTCAATTGTTCTTGATAATGAATCGAGTAACATTATTTTCAGTTACGAAGAAATGCAAAATTCATTTATGAAATGGTAGTTTCACGATATTCTTTTGTTAAACACGATAAGCAGCAGTAACTCACGTAAGAGTAAAGCACCGTGTCGATCCATTAAGAACCGGAAATAATCAGTAAAGCTAGATTCTTTTTAATAAAAATTAATATCAATAATGACAACTATATCGAATATAATTAGCAACTTCAATTCTGTTTCAATAATCTTAATTATTCTGTATTGTAGCGGAAAAGTTACGAAAATAAATTAAATATGTGTATGAAAAGAGTAACAAATGTGATATGCGCTGAACAATTTTTTTTTGTGTGTGTTTTTCCAACTGTTAAGTAAAGACAATCCTAACTCCACTTATTTTGTTGTACTTTCAGTTGAACTTTTCCTGACCACGTAGAGTTTTCATCACCGGTAAATTGCTAGACGCGGTATTTATTTTTTTTTAATTTAATTACGTTAGAAAATTGGTTGCTTTTCAGACAAATTCCTAATAACACATGTCTGTAATCTTATATCTCTTCTGAAAAGGGAATAGATTGAACCACTTGCCTTAAAATTGTAACTTATATATGGTGTTTTTACCGTTTCTACTATTTTCAACAATCTCTACAATAAAGGTTATTCCATGGTTATGGTTCCTGTTTCAAGTTGTTTTGAAAAAGTATTGATAAAATCTTAAGAATATTAGCTGGCATAATATATTTTCATTAAGAACTAATTTTAAATTACCACATAGGTAGCCTTTGAAACAGCATAATAGTTGCAGTGTTTTGATAAAAGCTTAAACGTGAATACTGACTCTAAGTTTTCGATTTAAAAATTAAATGTTGTAGTTTACAAATATGCCTAGACAACAAAATGTTTTTTTTTCATGTAAAGTAAAACACTATTGCTTGGAAGCACCCTTATAATGAAATATTATATTTAACACTTACCTTCTGACTGTAAAAAAGCTTCCTCGTACTGTTTCATTCTGCCAATACTTTTGTAAGTATTAAGGTGGAGTTCATCTTCTTCGTTTTCAGACGAGGTATACTGCGAGTCCGATTGATCACGTATTGTGTATTGTGATTCTAGATGAGCACGTGCTAGATTTCTAACTCTTGATATGTGTTGTGGTATTTCTCGGTCCATCTTGATAGGTAATGAGCTACAGATGAAAAGACAGAATAAATATTTAGGAAGAATAATCTGGACTCTGTGAAGTATTTCCGCTCAGGCTGACTAGGCCTAGGGCAGCAAAATGCTTGTGGCATCTTTTTCTTAACAAATCATTGAAGTAAATAAAAATATTTAGCCGACACAACACTAATCAGCAGTTGTTAACAATAGGATTTGCGATTCGCGACCCATCTCTTCCTGCCGCCTCTTACATCTTTGCTACTGCAAGTAACCTGCTGTTCTCGACCCCACTTACCTAAAAAAAGTTTTAGCTCTTGGTTGAGACTGTATCCAGCCCACGGAGCGCGTGTTTTCATTTCCGAATGGGACTAGGGGTATTAAAAGCTTTATTTAATACGTTACTATCAGAACTCGCAAGTAAATATATAAAATAAGAATCAAGAGTGTATAGTCATAGCTGGAAAAGGTGTCGTTTATTGATCATTTACGTAATTTAAATATATACCGTGTTTGTTTGTTTTTTCTTCATTGTGTTTGGTTCTAAGCCCTTGTACCCTTTCAGCGACTTACACTTCTTAAACACATACCTTGAGAACAGCAAGCAATTGCATCTTTTAAGATTTTCTAACAATAAATTATCTAAACGAGCAGAAGTATCCTCAAGATTATTTCAATGTTTATCAACAACAAAAAGGTAGTTAATCTTACGAAAATCAAAGATAATCATTAAAAAGAACTTAATAAGTAATGAATAATAAGTACCTAGTATTAAAATATGTAACCAAGTGTTAGATAACTATTTCTAATTCACTACTGTTCTCCATACATTCATGTTAGTACCATGACTTCTATATATGTGCGTATCTGTGAACAAGTTTTTATTCTATAGGTATAACAGCACTTTGTCCGGAACTGGCGATAACCTAATTTTTCATTAATTAGTGTCTACTGATTTATCAACTTTTGCAAGTAATACAGACATTGAGCTCCTGAGAAGATGCTTTGTTATAGTTATGTAACCAATACTATTGTGTGTGTGTGTGTCTGGTATACACTAAAATGATAGAATCTGCTTGTTACAGTTTTAGGATCATTAGGAAAACAGCCTCTGGGTAACATAGTTTTACGAATATAAGGGCTATCACTAAGTATGGTTCATTAATAATTAGATATACAAAACGTGTGCATTGTTATAGGCGGCGGAATCAAGGGTGCACTAGGGACATTTTTTTGTAAAATAGTAAAGTGCCTCCTTTCAAAAATAAAAAACTATAAGATTTAAAAAAGTCAGTAAAACAGCATGTATGGCTTAAGAAATGTAAGACAGGTTGTAGTTGCCAGCATTCTGACTGATTTGATTTACGTTGACGTTTCTTAATTTCTTTTGAAGCACATTGTGATATTAATTAAGAGCAAAAAAAAAAAAAACGCAAAAAAACAATGTATGTTTTTTGGCATACTGGAAGGTAGAATCTTTATTAAATTGACGGTTATATACGCTAACACTGTAGACACTGTACCTAAAGTAAGTTCATTTTTTTAAAGAAAAAAGGTATGGAAATAAGAGGAGGAAAGTAAATCGTAAATGAGGGATTATTTAAGATAAACAAATATTCCAATAGGACATGTTGACTGGCCCGTTGTTTCTATTTATACGCCCAGATTTGGTTTTATTTGTGTAAATACTCTCTCTTAAGTTCCTTTTTTATGTTTGTTTGTGCAGTTCTTAAGACTTATACATTTTCCAGTCATAATTACCATCACAGTTCCAGAAATGTCCAGCTACAATAGAGGACATTATGTTATCATGTTTTGTTCTATAAGTATTGTTTTTAATTTCTTTCTTGTTTGTTCTATGTGCATTTTACTGCAACTACAACTGATTTGATAAATTCTATCTTTATCTTCAATCCTTTTAGGGTCTTTGAGTGTTTGTAAATGGTTGACAGTTTTGTGTTGTGGAATGAACGCTACCTTATAACCCTTTAATCTGAATTCTTTAGCAAACCTTTTCCGAAATCATATGAAAAAAATGGCATACTAATGAACTTATTTTGAGATTCTTTTAATGGTGTTAATTCAGAGTACTTCATTTGTAGATGTTTGTCGTTTATTTTATGGAAAACTCTGTCAACAATTTTGGGTTACGGCAGGTTATATTAAAGTTTTTTGTAACTTGGAATCTTATAATGCTAAAAATAGGGTTTCGACACCTATGGTGGGCAGAGTACAAATAGCCCATTGTATAGCTTTGTGCTTAATTACAAACAAATATTGTAAGAATTTGTAAACAGTAGTGAAAACAAAAACAAAATTCAATTTCATCATCATATTTTAGAACTGCTCCGACACAAATTCAATTTCTTTATTTGTTGACATCCTTTCAACAGAAGATTCACCAGTTGTCAATGGTACTGTATATTCATACCAATTTCTTCGTCTTTATATTTTCTTAAACCCGCTAGAAGACAGAATGGAAACAGAATTTTCGGAACGTAATATGAAAATAAAAACTTATCACGAAGACCACAGGAAATGTACTGCAGGAACTATTACATTGTACTTTAAATGTTTTATGAGACACTTTTAAACTTTCATCAACTGAGATTTGTTATTCTAAGCCTGGGACTTATGCCTCCTAGTTTCACGTTAAAGTTATTTCACCCCATTATCGATATCAATTGATTTATACGAATGATAGCCAATTTATCCTTGACTATCGAAAATGTCTGTTTTAGCCAATAAACAAATTTCATTATTTTTTAGAGTTCTTATTTCATTTAACTATGAAAGAAAATTACAATTTGAAATTCTAACGCTATGACATAATTACAAAAAATAACTTTGTGTGATTAAAATTGGGTCAGAATAGGATCATCTGTCAAAATAAGTCGTCGTTGAAAACCTAAAAATTATTAGTACTTTCAAACACATGTAATAGAGTATATTGTATCCATGCAAAAACACTTAAATATTCTTGACCTTAGATTAATATTTGACTAAATTTTAAAGTTATTAAACACAAAATGTTTAAAATTAAGCATTTTATATATTTATTTCGTCAACTTAGAAATGTTTGTTAAACTTCAAAAAAATTTGAAAAACTTATCAAAAAGTAAGCCAGTAAGTTCCTAAGGAGTTAAAAGCACAAAAACAAAGTACACATTTTGAAAACAACGTAAAATAAAGAAAACTAGCAATTTAAATGCCAAGACTGTTTCAGAGCTAATGACAACGTTAGTGAAAAGTGCCCATTTGGTATCTTTATGGTTTTTCAGAGAGCAATTATGGGAAACGTAGAAACTAGAAACGCAAAGAAATCACTGCTGTGCACTCATCCACTTAATATAACGGGAGGAATCGAGACATATCAAAGATACTGTGGGACAGGACGCAATTTAAACCACCCTCAACTCACTTGGCTTTAAAGAATACAGCAGGAAAGAGATGAACGTGCTCACTTTTGATCCTTTTCAGTAATGATGTGAAATAGAAAAAGAAAGAAAGGAGAGAAGTAAAGGCATATTAAAAGAAAGTTTAACATGTTTTGTCAGCAAGACTTTGAACTTCAATGCGAAAGCATTTCTAGCATTATTAATTGATATCTAATGAGTGAAAATACTTTGTAAGGAGCATTTCGTCTTTTATTCATCTACTTATTGTACAACGAGAAGCTCATTCACCTCATACATTTCCTGCTATTCTGTTTACATGACTGTATGTGTCTGTTTCTATTTTTTATATATAGTTTAATTTGTGTTTTCTATACATTAATATGTTTTTAATGTAACATTAGACTATATGGAAACTTACTGATTTCCTTAGAAAGAAGGTATAAAATGTTATGAGGTAGCCAATAGTCAGTTCTAAAAATTATCAGATGCAAACAATAAAAAGCAAGGCCTCTTTGTTGCTTTGAGTGTAAACTATAAACAATAAGTAACTGGTGTGCTCTTATAAGTTGTGTTTCATGTATAGTAGCATAAGTCTATTTGGAACTTATTTTGCCCTTAGAGGTCACGTAGCGTATCCTAGCTACTCTGCGATGTTTGACAAAATCTAGAACCTAATTACTGTTAGCAAAATACCATTAAAGTTTATTCAACCCCACAGAGAAAGTATAATGACCCAGTGACTATCATGAGTGCATGCAATGAATTTTGTTCTTTGTGGTTTACTTCAATTCTTACTTTGACACCGTGAATTAAGGGAATACACGGGCTATAAAGAAATATGAAACTGGCATTGTCCAGTACATTATTTCAAACTTCTCAACTAAGCCGATTTATCACTTCAATTTTAATTGTGACGTGTGCAAAGAAAACTAACATAATTCACAGTATCAATGATTCCATAAACAGACTATAGGTAACTCGAATGCCAATCTGATGTGTAAATTAAGATCAAGATCTCATTCTAGGTCCTTTTTTTTATACAGATAGGAAGAGAATTTGCATGTTCATTCGAAGAGCTCCTGGTTTTATCATACATTATTCAATATACAAAAAACTACTGGAGCAAATGACAGTCCAGTCAAAAGAATAAAACTAGTTGAAATAAAGAGAAAATCTAATTTGATCTCACTAATAAGGGGGAATATTTAGCAGCCAAGACAGTCAGTCAGCGCATTTGAAAACAGGAGCATAGCCTAAACTGTAGCAACATGTGCCTACTCCTTGGCATTTTCTTCTACAACGCCTAGATACAGAGTAGCAAGACAACTTTGTAAATGCATATGATATACTCTTGGAATTCAGAATTAGACAGAATGCTCTATTAAACCATGCTCCATCTTTCCGTGAATGTGTAGTTAACCAATGGGAAAGAGAATTATATCAAATAATGATACTTGTAGAGCCCCTCTTTTTTTCTTAACATGATGAGACTTATTAGGGGCACGTAAAAAATTTGAGGAATATTTCTTGTTAAACAGCCCAACACATTTTTTTACCTCCATCACTTTTTCCAGGAATGAACAAGTTGCCAATTCGACAAGAAAAAGATTGGTTGCCACCACCACTAGAGAAA